ACTACATTTATGATACCCATGGACACAAGCTACTGAACTGGAATCATGATATTCTTAGTCATGCGAACCTCCAAACCTATGTTGATGCAAAAACAGCCAAGGGGACTCCGTTGGAAAACTGCTTTGGGTTTATTGATGGCACAGTCAGACCCATTGCGCGCCCTGGAGAACACCAAGGGATTCTTTACAATGGGCATAAGCGGGTCCACACCCTTAAGTTTCAAAGCATTGCACTGCCTAACCGTATGATAGGAAATTTATATGGCCCAGTTGGTAAGTTATTTAAAATTAGCTTATATTACTGAAGACAATTTTGACTGCTTAGGATGCTTGTTACTTCTGTTTATTTTATATGCAACTCCCAGGGTGGAGGCTTCACTTGCTTTGAAACTTCATTTTCCCCTCATGTAGGGCATATCCTCTTTATTGTAAAAGTAATTTGACCAAGAATAATGTTAGAAAATAAAAGTTCCCTTGAATGCAAATATTTTGCAAGTCCCCCATGCATAGACGTCCACCCCCTCTGCCTGCAACAGTTAACAAAATCACCCTCAAATCCTGACTCTAGTCCATACCCCCTCCCTCCTTGACTAAAATATACCTCGATGTTTTATCTATTCATCTATTTCACACAACAGCTGATATAATCATAATCTGTCTCGTTTTAGAAGGGAGAAAACATGATGCTGGCATGGCTCGCTGACTCAAGATTACTTCATGACTTAGAGCAGTTTGCCTTTAATCCAGCTGGCCAGCCACTCTGTGTCTATGGCGACCCAGCTTATCTGCTCAGAATACACCTTCAAGGACCCTTCGAGTATGGTATGCTCACTCCTCAAATGGAAGAATACAATCGTAGAATGAGTGCCATTAGGAGCTCAGTAGAGTGGCTATTTGGAGATGTAGTAAACTCCTTTAAATTCAATGACTTCAAAAAAAATTTGAAACTTTTTCTAAACAGTGTTGGGAAAATGTATGTAGTTTCCGTGATACTTCGAAATGCACTGACATGTTTGTATGGAAACCTGACAAACTTTTTTTGATCTCATACCACCAAGACTTGAGGATTATTTTGCTTAGGAAATGGTGTGAACAGGTTACTAGCAACTGTGGCTGATACTATAAGATATGAAGCCAATGTTAACTGTTTTGGAATAAATTGGGTTCTTTTACAAAAGAAATACCTATTTTCATTTCTTTTGCTGGATTCTTATTTATCTACTTGCATTGTAGTTGTCCAAAGTTGACAATAGGTAATGGATCACATGCATCAAAACAGGTCTTTTTGAATGGTTCCAATTCATTAGCTAATTAAGCCAGTTTTGTTCAAAACACATGACTTAATTGTACATGTATGAAGTTCAGAAAGATGCTTATGAACTGAGTACTAGATATAAAAAGGAAATGAAGAATTGTGAAATTTTCAATAAAGGAAAAACATTACTGAATGCAGTGCAGAGTCAAAAGCAATGTATTTAATGGCACCTCTCAGAATTTGGCCTCTCCCCCAGTTTTAAATGAGAAAAGTCACTGATTTAAGGCACAAACAGCCAATACAAATGTAAAAAACAACTTTATTATCAAAACTTTCAAATACATACAACACTGCAAGCACTTCCGTGCAATAACCTTAATCTATAACAAAATGCAACCTTTGGACCCAAAATGGGATGCATGGGTAAACTAAATTGTCCTTAACCAACAACTGTTTCCTTGTTTAGTTCATTTAACACAATTCATATCTAACTGCCAGCAAAGCCCACCTTTCCTGATAGTAAAATGTAAAACTATAAAAAGAGACCCCTGCTAGTAGGGGTTCAACTCAGTGCAATGTAACTCAATGTTTACAAAATGGCTCATGACAAAATGTTACTCACAGCCTTGAACTAAGTTTAAAGAGTTCATTCTTTCTTGTTGTTTTCCATGAATGCCATCAGAAGCTTGCTTTGCTGCTGCTGTTGTGCCACTAACAATGCTTGCAAATTCTGCTGGCTCTGTTGTTGCTGCTGCTTGTGAGCCATCATTGCTGAAAACATAGTCTGCTGTTGTTTGGAAGCTTGATGTTGCTTTTCAGCTTGCACCTGTATTTCTCTCATCTTGACTTCTAATTCCTGTTTCCTGTACTCGCTTTTGTTGTCCGATCTCTCTCTCAAGTAATCAATAGCATCAAGAGTGCTTCGTTTGACCTTTGGTTTCTTTTGTTTGTTCTCCTGATCATCAATTTAGGGCTTAGCCATTCTCTCCATTGGTCGCTTCCTCACTTCCTCTGCTGTGGCTTTTTCCTTGTCTGCCTTACTCTTCTTTTCAAGGTCTTTTGAGTCTAATTCCTTCTTGGCGTCATTTTCTTGCTCCAAAATTTCCTCCAACAGGTTATCGAGCTCCATCTGCTCCACTTCAACACGCAAAGCCCTCTCTTCCATTCTCAATTTTTATGCATATTTTGTCGATAGCAGTGAAAACGATCATGTATGGATCTGGTGGTGACTCTAAAGCTCGGCTGATGGATGCCGTTGAGCTGCTGGGCAAGGGATTCCCATGACTGCCCTCTTTCAGGGGTCCTCACCTTGAATTTGTAGGGTTCACTCAGAAGCACTTCCCTGCACATGATTACATCGTGGTCTGTCATCCACTGAAAGTACTTGCCTCTACACACAAGATAAAGGAATAGCAAGTCACAAGAAAGTTCCAACTTAGCGTAAAAATGCAATTACGGCGCTCAATGCGATAGGAAGAGTGTACTAAGATCTGCAATTGTTTTCTCAGTTTCCTCCTGAGGCATATATCTCAACAGAACGGACTGGATGACCCGGAGAGGCCGAAATATGACTGTCGATCTTTCTAAAACATCTGGATTCAAACTAGTGCTAGCCTGCAAATACAGCCACCCCTCATTCGTACCCGCTGTATTTACAGGCTAAACTAGTGCATTTCCTGATCATTGCGAACATTCTGTACCAATATATGACTGAATATATGAAAAATGTGTCAAGACTTTACATGAATTATAAAAATTTTATAATTAAAAGAGCAATGAAAACCTGTTGTAGAGAAATGTACCCTTGATAAAGATCCATTGAATATCAGTAAAGTATCCTATTTTGAAGTACTCACTT